AAAGGAGAAAAAGAGAAAGGGACATTTTTGTCTCTTTCTTACAAAAAGGTGGCAGATTTGTAAAGAGTCATGTGGGTGTGGCACGCTTGTAAATGTGTCATTAAAAAATGGCATTTTTGTAATTCTCCCATCTTTATTAACGTGGATTGATAAATATTTCATTATATCTGATTCTTGATTGATTTTTGTAACTAATTTGATTTATTTTTTATTTCTGTTGATTTATTTGATGATTTATAATTTGAGTCTATATAAGTTCAGTTTTCTATTCATTGTAAACATATAGAATTTTTTGGAAAAATAAAAGAGAGATTTTTCTCACCCTTAAAGTTTAGGCTTTGTTTGCTTTTTTTTTTCTATTATGTGTGATTCTCTTAGAAAGCAAGTGAGATCTTTGTCTTTGTGTGTGATTCACATAGACATTGATTTGTATTTCTATCACAAAGTCATTCCGCAACTTTGTGTGGCGAATTTCGATCCATTCAATCCGTAGGCCTTGAAACCGTGTGACCATAAGTTTGGTGTGATGCCAAGCTTATATTACTTCTACTTAGAGCCCTACGACTATTCACATAACACTCCAAGGTTTTATGCAAGATATCTACAATTTCTTTCTGAAACCCGAAATCCAACCCAAGTAATTAACGCTAAAGAGGGAAAAGACCATGTGCCCAAACAAAAGAAGAAAAAAACATGTTGAATTTTTTTTAAGATAAAAAATATTACTATGCGAGTTATGGTCGATTTTGTTTCAATTTGAACCGTCAGTTCATATCTCTCAAATAATTTATTTAGAAACAAGAACAAAAAAATCAAGTAGGACCTCATAGATCAAATTGTACAATAAAATGACATAATGTAGGAAGATCATATTGCTGACAAAGGAAAGGCCGTGACCAATCCTTTAATTATAGCCTGTAAATTGAATCCTTTACTTATAGCCTATGCATTCTTTTGTACAACATCAAATGTGCAGGGTTAAGGTGTAACATCTATAATTATAATCAAAGAATTTGATGGCATAAGGTTACTAAAAAAATTCATATTTTACTTGTTTGTATTTAGATTTAGGTTTTGGTACTAGAATTTTTAGGATCTATGTACTTTTTTCAATACTTACGTGTATATGTGAGGGTTTAGCCTCTCATGATAAATTTGCAACCTTTTAATTTTCTAAATAGAAATTGATGGTATAACGTTAATAAATAATTTTAAACGTTTCTTTCAAAAAATATTAGTCAAAAAAATAAAAATATAAGATTTGTCGTAATTAAAAATAATAAATGTGGGTATTGGAAAAAGAGTATAACAATGATAGTGGCAACAAAATTCAAAATATTAGAAATATCATCAAAATAAATACACAAAATATTACATTTTATATTCAAAAATAAAGATTACATATAAAATATTGATTTCTAAAATTAGATCTAAAAATTACAAATTGAATAATAAATTAAAACCATTAATATATGGTATAAGTGGCATCATGTTCCAAGTATTTTAATATCGCTTACAATGCTATACGATTAATTATACACGAAAATTGTATTAGGTATGTGTTTACTTTAGCTGCATAATTTTAGTTTTGATTAAGAATTTGAAAAATAATTAATTAAAAAACATCGATCGCAACTCAAATATGTCAAT